TTTAGATTGATATATTCAAAATAAAATTACATATGAAAAATAGTGATCAAATTATCCAATATATATATATATAATATATTTAAAATGTACACACAAATTAACAAAGTACAATAATAAAATCCTAATATAAGTCTATTGTGATGGTAGTGGCGGGGGATATGGTTCGATAGCGTCCTAATCCTCATCTTTCGCCATCAAAGTCTCAATGATTCCCTACGAACAAAACAAACATGGTCAAATAACCAAAAAACAACATAAAATAATACCAAAAAATCGGCATAATCTCCCCTAAAATCGGCCTACCCCAAACTCCACCCCACCCCAAACCCAATTAATTAACTCCAAAAACACATATTAATGAAAAACAAATTAAAATTTGGGGAGAAAATACCTTTTAGCAAGATTGAGAGTGAGTGAGAATGAGAGAGAAGAGTGAGTGTGAGAGAGATGAGATAGTGAGTGAGAGTGAGAGATAAAGAAGAGAGAGAGAAGAGAGATTAAGTGAGAGGAGTGAGTGTGAGAGAAAGGGTCAGATTATTGGGGAAGAGGGAAAGAGATGAGAGGTAAGAGAATAGAAAAAGACATTGAGAAAATTATGGATGAATTATTTTGGTTTTAAAAACCGTATCACTTTGCGTGACAAAATATTGGTCGCGCAAAGTCTTAAAAAAATAAAATTTTCGCCTCCCATTTTTGGCGCCCTCCAAATTTTTAGGGTTTTGCGCACCGAAAAATTAGTCTCATAAAGTCTTAAAATAAAAAATCTCGCGTCCCATTTTTGGTGCCCGCCCAAATTTAAGGATTTTGTGAGACGAAATATGGGTTCATCACACAAAATTTAAATTTTTTTTCATAATAATAAAAAAGAAAATAATTTTATTTTACAATTTAAAATATATAGGGTTTAGGAGACCAAATGTTGATTCGTCGTGCAAAGAAAATTATAAAAAGTAAAGAAAATAATTTAGTTTAACTATATAAAATATAAAATTAAATAAAAAATAAGTAAATAGGGTTTAAGCAACGAAATATTGATATTCATCACGCAATTTTTTTAAAAATAATAAAAACATATGAAAATAACTATATTTTAAAAATTAAATAAAAAAATAAAATAAATTGGTTTAGGCAACAAAATATTTGGATTTCGTCATGCAAAGATTTAAAAAATAATAATTTTTTATTTTTATAAAGACTTTGCGTGACGAAGTTTAAAATTTTGTCGCGCAAAGTAACTTTACCCGACGATGTTTGTTTCGTCGCACAAGACTTTGTGTGACGAAGTTTAAAATTTCGTCGCTCAAAGTGACTTTGCGCAACAATGTGTGTTTCATCGAGCAAAATGTCGTCGCACAAGGGTTTTTTTTTTTTTACTAGTGATGGCAACCTTTGTTTCCATAAACTCCTAAACAGTCCACAAGTTGTTGCTCGGATAGTGATCTCAATTGACCTGTTCTGATCTAGACAATCCCTTCCAAGCTGCCACTGCAGAGAATGCCCGGCAAGCCTACATAATATAACACAAAACATGAATGTCAATACATACTACAAAACCGTGGAATCGTGATGCGTTCAAGAAGACACACTATAATTTTACACTACTTGATACATTGTCGATATGTTCAAATGTTGGTAAGATATGAACCAAATATCAACAGTATGCTAGTTTAGGAAGGAACGAAAACATTAAGATAGTAAAACAAACAAAAAAAGCATTTAAAGTTGATCTCTTGGACTCTTACCACAGGGTCCTTGATTCTTTACGGTGGTGACGGCTCCATGCATACTCCAGTCGATGCTAAGGGGAACATCAGGACCGCCTAAGCTCTCGTACCTAAATGATACATCTGCGGATGAGGTCTGTTCAGTTGGCTTTATGTATCCAGTATGTTGTTGGACGAAATCTTCGTGGCTCAAATCAGCAACATCTCATGAATGGTTAAAACCTTGAGGTTTTATGGTCTTAAGAAACTAGTAAAATGTTAATTTACCTCGACATATGTTGACTATTGAGCATGTGCATTAATTAACATATGCTGCTTTTAAGATTCAAACTCTTATCTCTCTTTAGTATAGTTTAAAATAGTAAGATGCTACGAGATTTTTTTAGTACGACAATAATGTTAATATACACTAGAATGTATAGACATAATTATTTTTCATTACTACGGTAAAACGTCATCTATACTAGTATTCCAATTTTAATCCTCCCATCATTCAAAAAATTTAAAAAATTATATACAATTTTTATAAATAACGAGATTAATATCAAATTATTATTGGACACCCACTCCCACCCCAACGGTGGCTGCTGCAACTCGTTCACTTTTAAATCTCTCGTCCCTGCTGATTATCCCAAATCTCTCGTCCTATCTGAAATTCCTATCTTTCCCTAAACCCTAAAGGGCCTAAACCTAAACATTAACCAATGCCGATCTCAGAGCCTCCGCAGATCCACCGACTCCCACAATCCAAGTACATAGACTCAGTCCGGTGGCTCCCGCCTCTCTCCGCCTTGGACCGCCTCGCCGTTATTGCAGTTTTCGACTCCGATTCCGACTCTTCCTCCTTAGAGACCCACTCTTTCACTCCGAACCCAGCAACCCTAACCCCGCAATCTAAATGGGTCTCGCCCTCCCGAATTTCCTCCCTCAAAACCTCCCAATCCCACCACAAACCCCTCGTCGCCGCCGCGACATTTTCCGGCTCCCTCCACATCTTGTACGGCGATTCAATGGACCCTGCGTCTCTCCAATCGGAGCTTTCGGTGCCCGAAAAGGAGTTACACGAGGGACCCATTTCTTGTGTGGATGTTATGGATGGTGGGTCGGAGTGTGTGAGTGTTGGGGAAGATGGGAGGGTCAATTTGGTAAGTTTAGGGGACTCTGAGTTGAGCTACCGGCGAGTTTTCGACAGCAGCGGCTTGGTTTCGTTTACCGCGGCGAAATGGGCATCTCCGAGTGAGTTTGCTACTGGTGGATATGGGTTTAGCCTCCAGTGGTGGGATCAGAGGAAGCGCGGCGGAGCGGTTTCTCAATTTAAGGGTGGCTGGTGAGCATTTTTGGGCTTCAACTTTCATTTATCTTTGTCTCATTTGCTCTATTGATTAGGCTAGATTGGATTTGTATGGTGGACATTGAGTTATAATATATTGACATCTATCTTGTTTTAAGAATTTACTCATGTTTAATGATATCTGCAATTAGCTCAGTAAGTCCTTTGCTAAACGTAATGTAGTTATATTTTGAGTCGAGTAAGTAAGGAATTCTTCAGAGATTCGGTTTTGTTCTTCTCTGGTGCCGGATGTAGGTTGATTAAGCTTTTGCTTGTTGGAAATGTTGCAGGTCTCAACCGTCAACTCCAGGGATTGTACATTCAATTGATATCCATCCTTCAAGAAAGCACACTTGTTTGGTAATTTTCCATTTGTTTTTTGTCTTGGATGCCTTTTTGAAATCGATAATGCCTTATCCTGTCGAATGTTAGGGATATTGCGTGCATTGAGAATGCATCTAATGTGTTAAATGTTGCTTACACAATGATGTGCTGTGTACATATTCATTGCTGGCTTTTGCTTAAGTCTTATGTTACAGACCCAAAAGAATAACCTCATGTTGTCTTTACGATTTTCTCATACTTACAGGCTGGAGGTTCTTTAGGGACTGTATTTGCATGGGATCTTAGGTGGCCACAGCAGCCAATCCTTCTTTCTGGGGTTGGGGCAGGTGAAGCAACCCATTCACCATGCGAAAGTGAGGTTTGGGAGGTTCAGTACGACCACTATGCAAAGTCTTCGAATGTGGGAAATGTTTCTTCACGTATCTTACCTACTATGATATGTTCAGAAGACGGTATCCTTGCTGTTGTTGAACAAGGTTTGGTCCTTTGTGCTAAATTGTTGGATGGCAACCTGTCATGGCTGATAGCTTCTTTATTTTCGAACGAACTGACCATTTGTAAAACAATATATTCTTGAAACTTGATATGGGACTTATAGTTTCAAATTGCGCGAACCTGTTTAGGTGAGGAACCCATCGAGCTCCTGGCAGAACCTTGTGCAATCAACAGCTTTGACATAGACCGGCAATATCCTTCTGTAAGTAGAATTTTACCAATTTCTCTCTGTTCTCTGCGAATACATGAGTTTGGATGGTTTTCTGACCTTTTTAATGTGTTTAATCTGTTAATAAAAGAAAACGTGCTCGAAGAAGTGTAAAAAGTTACGTTGCTTACCAGTTCCACATTTTGCTGCGCAGGATGTTATATGTAGCTTGGAGTGGGAATCTATAGTCATCTTGACAAGGCCATGACATCCACAAATTGACATGTTCAGAGTTAAATGCGAAATCGAAGCTCGCCAATTTTCTGTAATTGAGAAATGAATCTCTGCGTAAAAAGAGGTACGAACCAAGTTACGGATGATGTTTAAAAGCCTGTTTTGTTTTGGTTGCTGAAATTAGTCATCCTCTATGTTCGTTGATCGACTCAGTGTCCCTCCTCCGTACTGTACCGTTACGTGGAAATGGAAATGAAAGCTTATTAAACATTGTGTCCATTAAAAAGCTAAAGAAACTGATTATTATGCATTTTTTGTTTGAAGAGTTGTATGGTTCAAATTTCGTGTTTGCTTGGAATCCCTGTCTTTCTGCTTCTTTTGATACAAAGGCGAGGGCGAACCCGTTGGGGATATTTCCTCACGAGTCTACAACACTCTTCATGAAGAGGAAAGAGATCTTCTCCATATTCTTTCCACCAAGTCCATCCATCCGGACCATTGAAATTAGATCTAACGGCTAAAGTTATTATAATTTTTAATAGGACTTCCTGTTTGTAGCCGTTGGATTAAATTTCAATGGCCCGAATGGATGAACCTGATGGAAGGGATATGGAAAAGATCTCTTTCCTCTTCAATTGGTTATGATATAACGGAAACTCTATATCCCCGGTTGTAGGTAAGAATAGACAAATACTACAAGATGATTTGCTCCAACACAATTCGCGATGGCTAATTTCGCATTAAACTACAGCGATATTTGCGTACAAGAACCGTATATACACAAATCATTCAATACATAATCAAGTGTCCCAAGCATACCGAAAATTTTCAGTTCATGAATAATCTAAGTCAATTATGTACATCAGAAAACATCTTGTGAGAGGGGTCATTGTAACACTACCAACTTCCCTCGTATATCGGTGCAACGAGGATCGCCTAACGGTCGGAGTACACGGGAAAGTATTCCTGAAATCAACAAGGTCAAATTTTTAACATGAGTAACGTAATTGCAGCAAGATATTGGGAAACATGAAGTACTACTTGATACGGAGATATGCTGTCAAAAGATTGATTTGCTATTGAAGATGTACCTCTATGAAAAATGAAACTAGTGACCAGAAATCAATAGCCATGTGAAAATTACTATGCTTGCTCCATTGAGCACGGTCATTGGACTAATGTAAGATTTGTACTCGCGTATCTGCCTATCACACCAGCAAGCGCTTGTATCAACGACTTTGGGTCGAAGACTACACCAGCTTTTGGATCACGTATGGAATCGACAACAATCTGCGAAAGGTCACTCTTGTCTGAGCTTTTATATTCAGGTAACAAAACAAACATATATACGGCTAACAAGCAGTCTAAAAACGTAAAATTTTAAATTCATGAAACTAACAGAAAAAGCATTTGGATACATACCACATTAAAGATTCCTTGGGCAGCCAAGCGTTGAACATCTACAGGAACCTCACCACCTTTGGGAACTAATAGAGTATTGATGTATTGATTAGGCTGCATGGGAATATAAACTTGTAATAAATTACATATTCCCTGTATAAATAAATGACGATCTAATATTCATGCACTAACTTACAAGGCTTTCGAGACTCTTATGAGGATTTCCATATGTTCGATTTAGTGCATCTGTAATAGCGGTTACAAAGCAAGAAGCTGAAAAACCACTTGTCTCTCGATCACGGGTACCATTTAACAAAAGCACCTTTTATAAGAACAAACTTAATCAACTCAACATGTAACTTGACATGGAGAATAAATAATCTGTTCATTAATGTCTATCTATGAGGCTAATTTGGAGTATATCAGAAAACTTTGCAACAATGAGGAAAAACCAACATGACAACTTGTTCAATTGGCACTTGTATCATGTAACATGTAACTCGAAAGTGTGATGAATACGTACCTTGGGGCAGGACTTTGACGATATAATCTCCCCAATGCCAATCAACACCTAAAGAATGAGGCAGAATAAATGAAAATTATGAATATAAAGGTTTCTCACATCTGGAAAACTATAAACAAATAAATAAACGCAGCATATTTAAGATGGTAGTAATGTTACCAGTGATGGGCAAATAGAAGTAAACAGGGATCCCATGGCATAAACTACGCAGTCCACATTACGCAACTGATCCAGGACGGCTGGGTTTGCAGCAGGGAAGACCTAGTCAATGAGAAAACCGTTGTTCTGGTTTTAGGAACTGCAGAAGCATATACACAACGGACATGTGCATTTCATGGCATATGCGAGCATTTTAATCTTTAGAGAGGGACCAGTATTCTTTTTCATAACATGAGAAAACTTTTTCATGACATGAGAAAATTACACTGTTTTAGGGTAGTGCCGAAATATTTTTTACGAATGTTAACTAAATGCAATATTAGATAGAATCATGATTTAACAAAAGACTCCAGTATTGGGTCCTCATTGAAGTATAACAATAAAAACCAAAAGGAAAATATTAGGGCATCACATTACATGAAACAGAAAAAATGAAGGAAACAAAAAAGGAAACAAAAGAAACAAAACCATTAAGTATCATTCACCTCATGCAGCAAGTTTTGGCCCTCACTTGACATGTAGAATACCCGTTTTATTCTCGAAGGAAGTGCTGGAAATGAAGAGCTTCCCTGTCCACAGTAAGCCATCATTTTTAATAAATGAGAAGTTATGTAATATAATTCACTAAAGGAAATTGCAAATCTCAACACCACCACGTGCTTTTCTTACAAGGAATGGAACATTCTAAAAGATTCCGTGTCATGTGTTCTCAGGAAAAAGTTGAACTATCAGAACACCAACAGACTGAAACTTTCCAGATCATGAAAACCATATCAGCATACCTTATTGACAGGTTCCGTATGTCCCTTGGTTGGATGAGAAATTTCATTCTGGCCTCGTATTATAGTTCCATCCTAGGCATAAACAGTGCAAAAAGGAATTCAGCATGATTAAGTATCAGCAGAATCTTGCAAATTATACTAGCTGCTTGAATTAATGATGAAAAAAAAAAGGAAAGAACACAATAAATAATTGAATCATTTTCTTAAGCAGCATATAAATTCCAGAACTCACATTAGACATATATGATTTACAACCACGGTTCCATAGTAAGTCAATACCATATTAAAAATCATATGCATACATATGTCAATATGTAAAGGCACATGAATTGTATGTCAACAATCATACCCATAATTCACATCCTAATGTAAGCCTGTCGTTGGTAGAAATCACGGGGAGGACAAGACTTTCTGAGGGGATATCTGACACACGAGAAAACAAAAAAATTGCAGCATCTAAGGACTGAAAAAATGTACGTGCTCCTGCAAAGAAGAAATTCCCAATGCTGCAAAATTTAAGAAATCAGTTAAGTAATCACACAAGGAAATCCAATTACGACAGGTATTTGATTGTAGTACACCTTTAGAAACATTTCTTAGTTAAACGGAAGGGATTACTGAATTCTAATTAAGCACCAGAAGGCAACAAAACAGAAATATGCCAAGTCATAGCTATTGAAAAGACTTCACACCTGCCGTTACCGAAGCAAAATGATTCATCTGATCGCCGGAGAATCTGAATTAGAAAAGGCAATTGAAGAAGTTCAGATGAGTTCAGTACAAGTTTGAAATCAAAATACATATAAACAACATTAAACGACATATTTTAGGCACTCTCGCCCAATGACTCACTTGATTCTGAAAATAAGCCAGAAATGCTCGAATGGTTTCCCTGTATGGTTTCGATACTCCCGTCCATAGAGAATGTTCTCCTTCCACAATATCATACCTGTCAAATTCTCAACTCAGCAGACTGTTACTCAATAGTCAATACCCCACCACAGTAACACCTACCAAGTAAATAAGCATAATTTAGGATAAAAGAACAACACATCACCTAGAAATGACCAACAAACACGAAAGTACAAACTACAAAACCCCATTTGTTAAAGAGATGATTTTTTTTTTATCATTTTTTGTTGTTGATTAAATCCAAAGATCGAAAATTTGCAATGCCTGACATCATTTCTACGAATGACCATAAAAAATCAGCAAATTCACTAGAATGGTAGCAAAACATTACCATTCCGATTTGGCCTGCCGCGAATCGAGCGGCAACCGGTGGCCAAGCAATCTGCGGACGGCCACCGCCTCGGAAGTGCTCTTATCAGCCAATCTCAAGCATCTCGACCGTATATCTCCAACAGCGGGACCGCCTAACACACAACCACAACAAATAAGAAAGCGATCCCCAAACACAAAAACACCAATCGAAAATGAAGGCCGGAATTACCGAGGACGCGAACAATCTCGGCCGTGCTTCCGCCGTCGTCGGAAACAGGAAGGACGTGGGCGACGCGAGTGGTGAAACTCTTGAGCTCCTCAACGACGCCGTTGAAGGCGGTCCCGCCTGAGAAGACGAGCAAGGAGGGCGGGGGAGGGCTAGGGCTGGGGATGGCGGGGGAGGAGGAGCAGCGGAGGTGGTTAGGGTTTTGGGAGCGGAGGATAGACATGGTGGAATGAGATCTGAGAGGGAATTGGGGGAGAGTGGGAGTGATGACAACATTGACAAGAACCGGAGAGGGAGAGGGACCCAACCAACTGTCCGCCATATTCCCGCGTCTTTCCTACCGCACCTTTTCTTTTGACCTTATGGTTAGCCTAACTTATGTTTAGCCGTCCAATTTTGATCCGACGTAATGCTCAAATCTCAAAGTACGATAACTCCAAAAATAAAATAAGAATTTAGCGAGTTAAAGATGTTGGGTTAGCCTATAAAAAGACGACCTCAAGCCAACAAGACTCTCCACTTTATGAGAGTCAAAGGAAGAATGTCTATCGTCCGCGGTTTTACTCTTATTTTGCAAAGAGGTTTCACGAAAAATTTTGGTTTACTTGTATCAAGCAAAAAGTCGTGAAGTTATACATTTGTGTGGCTTTTCATGCTTAAATATAGAACTTTAGCAACAAAGGAGAATATTGAACTCAATCCGCAGCAAAAATAAATTTCAGCGTCACAAAAATGGAAGCATATTTTTCACAGCCTTTTAGGCACCTCAGTGTTTTCAACTCCACAACAAATAGGAAGCAGAACGGTGGTTCTCTTAAACTTGCGTATCAAGAATGGTACTCTAATCTAAACAATCTCCCACTCGGACTCAGAAAATTCGTAATCCGGTGAACTAGATTTCTCAACGACTGCGGTTGTTGTGAAGCTTTTCCCTTTCTGTTGATCAAATCCTGCGTCAAGATCTCCGGACCAATCTGCAGGCTGCTTATGGTTGCGCTTCTTCAATAATCTCATTCTCGAAGCAAATGCGTCCTTCAGTTTCTTCTGAGAACCAAAAAGAAAGAAATCAAAATGTCTGTTGTGTCAATGCGAGTAGAGGGCTTAAATTAATATGTTTCATCAGTTCCAGGTTTTATCAAAAGGGGGTTGTTGTACCTTGTAAGACCTGCATTTTGCGTCTTGACAAGAAATGGATTGAATTCCGCTACCATCTACTAAAATGCAACTTTTATCAAGCTTTAGCGTATTCAATGATTGTGAAGTCTGTAAGACTGACTTGGTAACGTCATTATCCTGCTCTTCTGAAAGGGAGCCATGAGGTCCTTATGAAGTAATAGTTGTAACATATACTTTCTTACTACTACTAAAACATTTTATTGATGTAAAATAAAAAAAAACTGCAGATATGCAACAAAAGAAAACAGGTCCTCTATTAAAGGGCCAGGTAATGATATGCACGCACGCAATAACGAAAACATTTAGACAAGTACTATAACATGTTAGAACTCAAGGCGATACAACTGCAACATAGGAAAGAAAATCGATGAAATTATTGATTACCACTTTCTGGAAAAGGCATGGTAGACCCTGATTCATCAGAACTGTCACACACTGGCAAAGGCACGGCAGATTTTGATTCATCAAAACTTTTGTGCAGTTCAATCCCACCAGGAGGAGAAACTGTCGCATCCGTGGTCAAGCAGGCTGCACAATTGTCCGAGGAAACACAAAAATTAGTAGAAAAAAGAACGCATAAGGAAGAAGCATACAAATATTTGGATACTAGATGCGGCTATACTTACAACTGGATATTTCTAGGGCATCGGTGGCAGGACAAGATCCAATGCCCGCAGGGCTTCTTTTACCAGGTTCTACAGAGTTAACAGCATTGCAAAATTGTATGTCATCTGAAATTTTAGAAGGCATGTCAGCATGGTTACCACTTCTGTCCCCTGTTTCCACAAGAGAGTTACACCCTCCTGCATCATCCGAGGCTGGGATTAATATATTCCCTCCACCATCCAATTCAATTTCTTGGCTTGATATTTCTAGGGCATCAGTTTCTTCCAACGATAAACCACAGGAAACGTTCTTTACGAATTCCACAGAGCTTAAGTGGACTCTGTACGCGTCATCTAATGACCTTTTATCACAGTCTTCATCAGTGCCTGCCGGTGATTTTACACAGGCTGCATCACTAGCGTTTTGTGGAAGAGATGAATCGGGAGCTGCCCCTTCCTCTATATCCACTGAAGATTGACCGAGTGCATCTCCTATAGGTTCTGACAGGGAGAGAAGGTTTTCAAAATTCTCATTAAATGTCTCCAACTGGCTTATAGCAGGTTCAATTACTTCCTGTCAAACAAAGGAATTTTCCATAAAAGTAAGGCGAGCAGGCGTGAGAGTAGAGATGATAAAGCTGAGCATGAGAATGCAAGCAACAAAATAAAAAAAAGGCATATCCACATTGACAAAAAACAATTCGGAAAATGTGGATGCTGAGCGGAAACTTGTGGCATAAGGCAAAACTAGAACTAGATGCTTGGACATAAACAAAAAGCAATACCTGTTGCATTATTTCCTCCGCCTCCCGGCACAAATCTTCAAACTTCTGGTATAAGTTCCCAAACCATGATATGCCTTTACAACTCGTATCCATTAAGACCACAATAATGTATAAATTTTAGATGCAATTGAAGGTATAACTTCTCAACCTCCTTAGTCCAAGAACAACTCAATATAGCCTGCAGTCATATAGACATGGATGGATGAGTACAAAATCATGTTTTCTTGATCAAGGGAACGCTAGGGCAACGCATACTACCAAAAGTAAATGACACCGATAACTTTGAACAACCAAATCCTATATAAAAATCATAAAGTTTCATACCAAAGGCAACTGGGTTGCGTCAGAATTTACTGCAACTGCGAAAAACGCAGCGTAAAATCATCACTTGTTGATGCTAATTTGACAATGGTTTCATATATACATTAATGCCAAATTGTATCACCTAAATTGCTAAACGGAGGGAACAGACAGGGAAAACTTAACTAAAAATAAATTATTAAGCTGCATGATGTATGGGAGCTTAGAAATTTCTACAGAAAAATCTTAATGCTAGGCTTTCAAATTATTAGGCACCTTAAATTGGAAACTGCCTTCTCCAAATCATTAAAGCTAAAGTTCAAAACATACATAATATATACACACACATATATATATTTTAAAATTATGCAATTTTTTTCTTCTTCGAATTCTCAGCAACCAAAGACACGATAAGAAGAACAGCATGAAACCCCAAGAATCGCAGGCAAGAAAAACTGACATAACCAACACTTAAAAGAACTCTGTAATTTACCAAAAGCTACATGAAAAGTAACCTACTTTCATTGATCAACAAGCAAAACGCCTCAGAAGTTCGAACCTATGATAAAAAAAAAACATTCACAGTAAAAAACGGAGGAGGCAGATAAAAAGTAAAAACCCCATGAATTTGATCACTTACAACTTACAAGCTCCAAGAATGGACGAACCCAGAAACTAAACCACGAGAAACCGAATATTCAGTGCATACCCAGTGGAAACTAGGCTCAGTAAAGAGCGATAAGGAGGTCCACTGCCTGCTTAAAGAGTTAAAAAAAGAGAGTAAAAAAATTAAAAAACAATACATATAAAGTTGTTGGAAGCATAAACTGACTGGGTTTCGTACTTGTTTCTGAAAAAGGTTTCCTTTCCTAACATGAATACGTCTCCAAAACTCTTTTTTCTTTTTCTTTTTTTTTTCTTTTTTTAAACTTTGGGCCTAATTGAGTTTTGATGGGTGTGCATACAATGGGCCAAGTTAGGGTAATTTTCGGACGTGGTATAATTAGAACCGTTTAATTTTTGGATGTGGGATAATTGAAATTTTTATAATTGAAACTGTTTAATTTTTTAATTTTTATTTGAAAATCATACTATAAAAATTCGTTTTATATTCATATCGTGTTATCGAGTGTAATGTGATTTTGTCATGTGTAGGATTAAGTGTCAATATGTCCGACCCAAACAAAAGAAAAATATATCAATTATTAAAATGTGATACTTTTTTAAAATTTTTATTTTTTATTTAGCATAAGGCACTTCTTTTAATTTTAAATACTCAACTTTTTTTTGCTTTTAACATGATTATATTTATACTAGTTAAAAATTAATGCAGTCTACCAGTTAAAAATTGTGACTTAATCTAAACGGGATGTTATTTTTGGACTAGCCAAAAACTCCACTTAAATTAAATGGGCTAATTTGATTTTTTTTTTTTTTTGGGTATCGATGACACACCCTGACCGAAGTCGAGACGTGTTGGCCGTCACGTGAGCGTGATGTAGCCTTGTGCGCAAAGCGGAAGCGATAAATAGTAAGGAAATACAACCAATTTAAAACCAAGCAACTAGCAATCCCAGATAAGATAGGATACTAGTGCGAGTCTAAGTGTATAAATACACTTTCAGAGCAATAAGAAAGTCTAGTTGCAGTCAAGTAGGACAATTACTAAGATACAACACCCGAAGGTGAATCCTACTCCTTCGGATTCTGTCAGAACACCATTGGATTCCTCGTGGCCACCGAACTCTGCTACCTAAGACCTGGAGGGGCGAAAAACAAAGTTGAGTGGGTCAGTAAAACACATTTACACGAAAATCTTATTTTTCTTTGAATATACTAACCCTTCGCCGTAAAACAAGTATATAGGTACTTTCCCAGAAAATAGATATATATCTCAAATCATGCTCAATAAATCAAGATTCATATTTGTATATATATATATATATATATATATATGCCATGCCCGATAATCATAAAAATACCAAAAGTAAGCCAGGTGATGCAATTCACAATAACCATCTGCTAGCCGAAGTCACCTGACATGATCTATACGGCGGGAATCTATAGCTCAACTCAATCACAACATCAATCTCATATCTCATCATATAAATCATAGTGTATATACGTCACATATCTCATCATGCATACACATATATGCACACGAGTGGGAACCACCTCAAGTGGTCTGGTCGACAAGACTGGGTGTAAAATAATAATACGCTCTAGTGCTACGATCACGTGAAGACTGTGCGATAAATTGCGGGTCACCTACGAGTCGAAACCAAAATAAAGGTCTATACGACAGGACTGTGCACCTAACTTGGATCCAAGATAAGCGTGTGGTGCGGGAGGTGAACATCACGTGAAAGATTGTGCCCTTAACTTTGGGCGAAGCACTAACACCGGGGTGCAGATTAATGAGCTCTAATATACATCTCAACATCATCATCATCATATCTCATAACCATTACTAGCATAATGTACTCACTTGTAGCTTACATGGGCCTCCACAACACCATGCAACAATATGCATAATTATGATAATGCATATACTAAAATACGAGGCATACATGACATGGCATTTAAATCACATTTCTTTTAAATACGTTTCTGGGAAAAACGTCAACTATATATATATATATATATATATATATATACACTGAAAATAACTATCCACTCACAGATATGCAGCTGGATCGTAACCCCTATGCATAGCCTGGCTACGCTCGTCCTCTGGATAGGTCTCGCCTATAGGAGAAGCAACTATATAAACGTCACTTTAATGCACATATACCAAACTATGTAATAACTTTTCATACATAGCTCAAATTATGTATATGAATATACCACAGTGACCTACACAATCTCATGATCATCCCCATTTTTTAAAAATATTTTTCCCACCACCCACGCGCCGCCACGCCTAGGCGAGTGCACGGCAAGACGCGCGGCCACGCGCAGGAATCCTAACGGATTCTCTAATTGTCGTTAGGAATATTCCGTTAAAACCCAACGGTAACCGTTAACCCTAACTGACGGCGTCAGCATATTCCGTCAAAACTGACATAATATTCTCCTTTCTTCTCCGGTGAGTCGCCGGTCGCCGACGACTTCGCCGATTTTTGGGTAAAAATTTTAAACCACTATTCTCCTTCGTTTCTTCACCACCAAAATGAAGCTAATAACATGTAGAATCACGTTATACTAGTTTCAAGGCTTAAATTCTACTAGATTTTCCCCGAGAAAGGTCAATAGCTCGTCTTACCTAGATAAACGTCGATCTCAGCCTTCCGACGTCCAAATCCGTCCAACGAAGTACCCTGAGACTCGTGAGGACCTCCTTAAGCCTTCTATGTCCTTAAAATTCTCTGAAACACAAGGTTTTGCGTGTGCATGAACAATGCACAAAATCGGGGTTAGGGTTTCTCAGGTTTTTCGAAGCATTCATGTCCAAACAAAGGTACCAATAAACTCAGAAGGTTACACTGAACAAGAGTCCTTACCTTTAAAGCTTCGATCCGTGCCTGAAATGGGGAGTTCGAAGTTTGTCCGTACGAAGAAGGGAAAGAGAGAGAGAGTGTGCGTCTGAGAGAGAGAGAGAGAGAGAGAGAGAGAGAGCACGAGAAGGAGAGAGAGAAAAGTGGTACTTTTGTGTGTGTGTGGTTTAGAAACAACCAACCAATCACCACCATTTCCTTTAGTTCCAATTGGTCCCAAAAACTTAGAAATTTAACATATTAGTCCACTTCTAATAGCACGTCACACACAACATATCTCAACGCCTAAGGGCTTTTTAGTCTTTTCACATCAATGATAATTGTTTCTCGGGACGAGCTGTCACAATCAATGTGTTATTTTCATTTAGAAATAAATAAATAATTTTTTGACAAAAAAAAAAGTGCAAAGCATCTCTCTAGTATTTTAAATAATGATTGGTTTATTAAAGAAAACAAATAAAAAAAAAATTGTCTTTCCTAGCATTTTGCACATCTTTGATGACAAAAATCAAAGAACACACCAGCACAACCACCATAAATTGGTCCAGTAATTGAAAAAGAATTTCAAGTCTATAAACCACATGGTATATTCTAAATTTAATTCTTAACTCGTGTGAATCACATAATAATAATTAGAGGAATGCTGAAACATCTCAATAAGTCTTCTTAATGTCCTAAAAGTTGCTTATTGTGACCCAAGTCATTAATTGGTTTTTTTTTTTTGTAAAAAAACACACACACACACAATCACAGAAAGGTCAAATCATTGCCAAACCCATAACACCCCAAACCAATAGAAAATAATATAGTTCATCACTTATTTGCCAACCCTAAAACAAACAAACAGGTTGACAAAAAAAAAAAAACAAGCAGAAAAATAATTATAAGTGATATACGGCAAAACTTATCATTTTTATTTCAAAATTAGTTTAAATATTTAAATCTTAATTTTTATTTAATCAAGTACCATCTTGGATAAGTTGAATCTGGGCGAAGAACCAAACAACATACGAAATAATTATTTTTTTATGCCACAGATTATGTAATTAATTATTAAAAAATGATTACGACTTTTGTATTGTGTGACAAAATTGTGACGTGGAAAGTGAGGACCATTTTGGTTGGCAAAGTGTGACAATGCAAGACTTGGATATGCTCAAGTCTTTCCAATAAATTATTGACGTTTTCTCGAGCAAAGTTTTGTTTTTGCTTTTCTGTTGTTTTATTTTCTGGTGGGAATCTCAAGTATGTCAAATGGAAAGTTGTTGAAGGCAAATCATTGACCCTAAGTTCTATATATTATTGTCTTTCTGGGGTCACCTATTTGGACTTTAAACGTTTTGAGCTTCAAAATTGTATTAATCCGAGATAGAAATTAGGGTTCGTTTGTAAGTATTTAAAAAAAATGATCTTTTGATATAGGTGCCTCAATTTTGAATTTTCTAGATCAAACATTTATTCTTTTTAGTGATTTGATTAAACTTTTTTTTGTCATAATTTTGGTGCTATATGCATATTATATCGTAACAAATTTCCTATAATCTAGCCTTTTGATTACACTCTTCTCCGTTAGAGATAATTGTAAAAAAAAAAAAAATAAAGTTGGTTAGATTCAATTTATTTTCACAATAATGCTACAATTTAGCAATAATTATCTACGATTTAAGATTTTTTCTTTTCAACATAGTTTAAAATATTTTTAAATCCTACAAAATCAAACGTACCGAAATAAGTTTTTCTTTTAGTACGTTAAGAGAAAATAGGATTGAGAATAATATAAACGTACCAATACACAATGTGTACAAAATAAAACGTACCAAAATAAAATTAATGTACCAATATTAACAATATACATCATATCAAACGTACCAAAATTGCAAATAAACATACCAATTAATGAGTTTTGTAAATTCAAACGTACCCGCAAATAATATATACGTAATGTATTGTACCTAATAATAACTCGTCAACAACTATACTTCAAAAAACAGCAAAAAAAAATTGAAAAAATTACACGGAATTTTTATGTTGATCACCAACTATTTGAAAGAAAAAAACCATTTGGAAAAAGAAATAATATTAAATATTTGCATAACAAACAAAAAAACTGTGATAACAAAAACATATCTGGAATGAGATAAAATATAGTTTAATTACTAATATCTCCACTAAATAAGGAAAAATGCATCATATAGATAAAATGATAAATTCAAATTTTATTTTAATTTTAAAAAAATATAATAATGACATGTAATTTAGCTTGAGGTGACTATTTGTCACATCCCAGCCTGGGCGGGACCACTTCCCAGGCTCGACCCCACCACCGTAGCACGATATTGTCCGCTTTGGGCCCCGACTACGCCCTCACGGTTTTGTTTCTGGGAAGTACCCACTGGGAGGTTGCTCGTGAGTTCCCAAAAACAAAACCGTAAGGGCGTAGTCGGGGCCCAAAGCGGACAATATCGTGCTACGGTGGTGGAGTCGAGCCCGGGAAGTGGTCCCGCCCGGGCTGGGATGTGACATTATTGGTCAAAGCACTTTAATCAAATTTAAAAAAGGCATAGATGTTTAATCTAAATGATATAGAAAAATGGTAGGGGATTCTAATTTTCTCTATGACTGAAAAATGCTTTAAAAAAAATTATTTTTTGGGTTCCAAAAAATACTTAAATGCTTCCTGTAAGAAGAACCAGCATTTCAAGTGTTTTTCCAAGATCCACTTGCATTTTTGCTAAAGATTGGTATAAAAAAAATGTTTTCACCAAAAATATTTTTAGCCATTTTAAAGTACTTTCAGACGAGCTCTTATATAAGGGTGAATTAATTTATTTTTCTTGTAGCATAAAGTGAAATTTAGGCGTTGGGGGTAGGTTAAATTTTCATTTTGTGCAATATTAGACTCAATTTTCCGTAACATGTTTATTCTAACACAAAAAATTTTTGTCTTCTAAAACTTGGGCTGTGCTAGAGCCCTGAGCAACTACGAGCTGGCTCCTCCCTTGAGTTCACCCACTTATTGAGAAGCTTCTGATGATCAATGAGTTTAGTTATTAGCTATACTAGCTTCTCCTCTCGCTTTAACACTCATGTACATAAACTTTTCTTAGCACGTACATTGCAACAAGAATAAACCTCATTGAACTACTATAGTCAGAGTGAGAGTTTAGCCTGTTTAGGTTTAGCCTGTTTAGGGTTTGAGAATTACTTGAGGAAAAAGATTAGCAATTTTATTTTCGTTTTGTTGAGCTGCCAACTTTGAATATCTTAAACTTATCCAAACCAATATCGAGAACAAAATTCAGGTGCGCAATTCTGTATTTTATGCCTTAACAGCATAACCTATTTGACTAAAAGTCTAAAACAAAAGAAACACATGCAAATTGAACTTGTAATTAAAATTTTGCATTTATTTTATTCGGAAAATCATTAATTTGTAATACTTATTTAAAATATGCATAATTTTACGTGTGTTTTTCTTTGATTAAGATAAGTACCCCACGTGGATCGATTGTCTACATGAGTACATGGCTAGTGTGGTTGTCATGAAGTTTGCCACATAAAGAGGTATTTTGCATGCACACTCGACCAAAATATATTAAGAGGTATTTAAGACATCACTAAAGGAGCTGTTAAAATGTCCTAATCAACTTTAACAATCATAAAAAACAACAACAAAATTTTTCAATCGAAAATTCAAATCTAATGTGGCATGATATGAAATAGCAATCCTGCTGTCAAATTTGACAGCAACGTCAAATATTTTTAATTCATTTCATCTGGTTTTCCAAAACCTTCAAACTTCTTCGTCTCTAACCATTTGCAGAGTCTCCCCCGTCGTCGACTCGGGATACTCCGACATGGACATTATTAGAGCCCTCGACATGGCCAACAACGACGTCACCGCCGCAATCAACCTAACTTCGACACGCCCAGTTTCAAATTGAAGGAAAGACCACCGGCTTTTCGGAAGAATCCCCAAATTTTGAGCTCCGAGGTCGTAAATTTGAAGCAAATTGGGGGTCAGAAGAGTATTGCACTTTGGGTACCGAAGGAAATGGGAGTAGTTGTCCCAGTAATTCAGGGGACGACGTGGTTGAAGAAGTCGCGGTTGCACGGTGCGAGAGCTCGGCTGGGACCCAGTGGTGGTTTGTGGGCAGCGGTGAAGTTTCAGGTTTATCAACGTGTAAAAGGTAGGAGGCTTAGGCCGCCTGGAGACGAAGTGGATTTTACTCAGTTCGACATCTCCGTCACATTCATTATTGTGAGGGGACGGCAGGCAGCTGCTTGTTGGGAGATTGTGAGGTTTTCGAACGAACACATTCATTATTTATTTATATTTTTTGCTGAAATTGTAGAAGTTATTTATATTTGTAAAATAAATATAAAATAAAAATTATAAAAAGAAAATAATGTAATAAAATAATAGTTTAATTTGACATATCGGGTGAAAATTAAAATTTTAAAAGATGTCAAATTGCCACATAAGCATTCAAATTTAAATTTTATGTTTAAAATTTGCATCTCATCTTGAGATGGTCTTAGCACGCCACTTTGACTAATATTCATAGTATTATCAATTTCTTTTGATCAAGTTTTATCATATAAACTTTACATTCAATCTAAAAAAATGTCACTTATAAATACAACGTACCAACACATTAAACATAAGTTTATTTTTAGCTATGACACTTGTCATGTACGCAAAATCTCATTTTACACTCTCATTTTATATTATTTGTGTCTCACTTTACTATATTTGGTTAACTCCGTCACATAAATCGTTAACTTGTTGATAGGGTTTGAAAATTCTAGTAATTTTACTCATTAAGAATTAAATTAAAGTAATAAGACAAAAACCAATCAAACCCCACCAAGACCACAACCTCCTCGTTTCCGACCCCTCCATCACCCCATCTCCCTCTCAACCACAACCCTCACACCCTTTGCGACCCCGAAGACCAAACTCTCGGTCCATGTAACGGAGTTAATGGAATAAGGTGAGATACAAATATTAAGTATATGTGGTAAAGTAAAGCAAAATAGTGTAAGTACTGGTTTGGTATTAAGGTACTTTTATAAAAAGTGTGTATAAAAAAAAGCTGAGCTCAAAAATGTGTTTGGTAAACACTTAAAAACAGCTCATTTTCACAGTTTTGGGTTGAAAAAAACTGAAA